ATCACTACATCCTCTAGTCAGTGAGGCTGGGATGCCCTGCGTACCCAGCTGTGCAAGGTTCTTGCTCAGCTCATGATGCCACTGTCTGGTTCCAGCACCTGGCCCATCTCCTGCACCTTTTCATTGGGCTCTGTGAAGTTCATGACCTTCACACTCCACGTCAAGGGTTATGAGCATGACTTGACCTCACCACATCTTTTATCACTGACTCAGCTTCCATTCATTGAGGTTTGAGTTTCTTCTCTGTCTCAGCTTTCAGATTCCTTCTGGCAAATCTGAAATACAGATGTGTCAGCATAAACCTGAACTTGAACCTGCCAAAGAAGCTTCCTGTGGCCCTTGCTGGCCCAGGCGGTTGACAGAGGGAGAGGCTGGGGTGGCTCATCTGTAGGAGATTGCCCCACTGGATGGAGTTTCTTTTGGACGCACCCCTGGGAAAGGGTGGGGGAAGGGACTGGTGCCTTCTGTGGGGAGTAAGTACACAAGAATCAATTCCTCTTCTATATATGAGTTACAAACAGATAAACAATGTTTTTAAAAACTCCATCTACAACATCATCAAAAATTATAAATTTACTTAAAATTAAATCTACAGGAGATGTGCATGACCATCAAGGGAGAAATGAGAAAACTTTATCTGAAAACATTACATAAGACAAATTGAAAAAGATACATGAACCATGAATAGTAAAACTCTGTCATAAAGATATCAACCTTTCTACCCCCACCCAATTGCTATGGAGTTTCAATGCAATTCTAAGAAAAAACCCAAGAATTTTAACATATATGAATAGTCCATAGACATAGACAACAATGTGGAGATGGCCAGAGGGAATGGCGGGCAGGGATTGGGTGGAGTTAGGCAAAGTTGGGGGGAAATAGGGACATCTGTAACAGTGTCAACAATAAAAATAAAGCAAAAAAAAAAGATTTTTCTTTTGTGGAAGTTGATTCAGGGACGTTAAAATTTACAGGCAATAGCAAAGTGCCAAAAACAACTCTTCTTGAAGAAGAACAAAATGAGGAGGATTTAATAAGTAAGATAGTGTGGTATGGATGGAGGGATAATGAATAGCCCCCCAAAACTATCCTATAATTGCTATTTGAAGGAGGGCTCTGTCCTGCAGAGCGTCTCCAGGTCACCGTGGTTGGGGAAGCAAGTCTTTCCAGACACTCTTGTTCTGCCAAGAAAAGGGGGTTGGCAATTCCCTCTAGTAGAGAATGCCCCAAACCCTTCTCTCGAAGTCGCTTTTATTGAGAACAATATGTGCAGGAGTATACAGCAGGCATGCAAAGCCTATCAATCTACATCAAAAGGCTATAGACAACAAATTGGAGAAATACAGAAGTTTATCTTAAATCAAAGTCCATCAGACAAGTTGGCACCAGGTGCTCATTAAGGCACAGTTTTCAGGGCTCAGAAATTATCTCCTTTGGTGAAGTAAAACACCTGATTTTTTCCTTAACAGGGCAGTGCAAAGCAGAGCAAGCTTCAGCAACTATGTTGCATTTTTTACCAGATTTCCTAGGGGACCCTTGGTGTTAGTATTGGTCCATGCCCCTCCCAGCATTCCTCGCTTTCCAGTCAAGGCTCACAGGCAGGGGGCCTACCTGCGTGGGGCTACAGTTCCTGACACCACCCAGAGTGGTCCCCAACAGCTATTCCTGTTTACTCTTAAACCCACTCCCATCAGACTTTACCCCACACCATAGCATTAAAGCTTGTCTTCAGGTCACCAATGATCTTGACAATGACCTAGATCCAATCATTCTCAGTACTCATCTAACCTAATATACTTTCTCATTTGCTACTTTTTTCTTGATTTGGATTTTGGGACACCACATTCTCTTGGTTTTTCTGTTACCTCAGTGGTCACTTCTCTGTTTTCTTTGCTAATTCTCCCTCTTCTCCCTAAACTCTTTTGTTTTTGGTGTGTGAGCATGTGTGTATTGTGTGTTCACCTAAACTCTTAATGCTAGAATTTGCCATGGCTCGATCTTCAGTCGTCTTCCCTTTTCTCTTCTAGATACCTTCATTTTCTAGGGCCATCCAGTTGCAAGGTTCTAAATACCACCTCCACGTCCGTGAGTCCCAAATTTATATACCGAACCCAGACTAAACTTAGATACCAAACTACTTACTTGACATCTCCACTTGGATGTCTGATATCTCGAAAGAAGCAAATCCAAAACTGAACTTCTGATCTGTGCTACCAACCAAACCAACTCTACCTAATGTCCTTCCAGTTACTCAGGTCAAAAATCTTATAGTTATCCTCTTTTTCTTTAACATCCCATGTAGAATCTACAGGGACTCCAGTTGACTCTACCTTCAAAATACACCCAGAATCTAAACTACTGCTCATGACCTCCACTGCCACTACCTGAGTTTGAGACAAACCTTAAGTTCTTCCCTTATTTATTATGACAGTAAGGATCTTGCTTCCAACCTTGTTCCCCTGTAGCCTATTTTCAACACAGCAGCAAGAATGATTGTTTTAAAAAGTGAGTCAGATCATGTCAGTCCTTGCTCAGAACCCCTCATGGCTTTGTTTCTCTCCCACTGAAACCAAAGGCATCTGGGCCCTGGCCGGATTGCACAGTTGGCTAGAGCATCGTCCTGATACGCCAAGGTTGTGGGTTGATCCCAGGTCAGGGCACATGCAAGAATCAACCAATGACTGCATAAATAGGTACAACAAAAACTTGACCTCTCTGATCTATCTCTCTCTGCCTGTCTCTCTTTCTGTCTCATCACTAAATAAAAATTATAAAATAAATAATGAAACCAAATGCCTTTATGCAAGAACACGTCATATGATCCAGTCTCATTTTCCTGTTCTCTGGCCTCTTCTCTTACTACTCCCCTCCAGCCACACTGGCTCCATGCTGTTCCTCTCACTGGATGGGGAAGCTCCTTCCTTTGGGCCTCTGTGCTGGATGCTGTCTTTGTAAGAGACACTCTTCCCCAGGGATCTTCCTGGTCAGCTCTCACCTTCAAGTTTTTACTCAAATGTCATCTTCTCAAAGAGATCCCTGATGGCTCGATTTGCAATTCCAAGTCATCTCCTCCCACATACCCAAGACTTTCCATCCTTTCTGCTTATTCTGTTAAAAAATAACATCACCAAACATCTCTTAATAAACTATATAATGTGCTTGTTATAGTGTTTATTATGTGTAACTTCCTAGCAGAATGTAACACAAGAATAGGGATTCTTGCAGTTTTGTTGACTGATGTTTCTTAAGAACCTAGAACAATGTCAGGCTTATATTAGGCACTCAGTAATTATTTGAATGAAAGAATGAAACTAATGAATTGATGAATTAATGAATGACTAGGCAGATAGGATGGAATGGAATCAGGAGATTCACAAAGGTGAAAGTAATGCACTATTTCTTAAGCCGATGTTTGATTCATGAATGTGTCCTTTAGTTTTAAAATCTTATATATCTATGAGTACTGAGTTATAATTAAGTTTTAATAAAATGGTTAAAAAAATATTGATTTTCTGTCCAAATTGACTCACTCCCTAAGGGTTCCAGAAAGCTGAGTTTCTCCTGTACCTTATATACTCTAATCACTGGACAGAGGATATCACATTTTCCATGGTCTCTTCTTTCTTCTTGCTCCTGGAGGTAAGGCACCCATGGCTCTGACATTCCATCCAGGAATGGCAAGTCAGAAAAAGAACATGCTTTGAACAGAGTTCTTGAAAGGACATTCTGGCCTTAGAGCATGCAACAGAGCTTCCCTCTCTCCTCCTCCTGATTTCTTAAAACGGCTGTGAAGCCAAAGTGCCTCTGTTGCAGATGGACACAGATGCTGACCCTCATGGCAGTACCTCCCTGCTGACACACAGGGAGACAGGGCTCTCCCCAGCAGAGGAAGCGCTCACTGTTGGGAAGTTGCCATTTGCCTTTGAACCCAGGTGCATCGCCAGTTGTCCAGGAATTTAAAATATAAAAATGAAAAAATCATGCCCAGTATGTTTTCCTAACATTTGCTTTTTTTGTCCTTTACTTGGAAATTCACTTATATCACTATGATAATACTTTCGAAGAGAAACTTGAAAATCAAGGGATTTACGTGAAAAAGTAGCAAAAATTTTAAAATGTGGTTTTGTGCAAAAACAAGCTAAAATGTTTTGGAGCTTCTCTGTCCCTTTCGTTGTTAAACATTGTTGAATCGTTAGACGTTTCAAATCAGTAACTTTTCTTGGCACTAACTTTGTGGGTTTTTCCGGTTACCTTGCTGCACAATATTTCTCTGCAAAGGAAGGGCCAGAAATTAACTCCTCGTATGACCGAGTTCTTTGAAAACTTAATCGAATGTGAATCACAACCCCATTCTGCGACTGCAGATTTGGAGCGACGTTGGATAGGTGAGCCCTGTGCCTCAGATTGGGTGGACTGTAGTCCCGTGCCTTTGAAAACGAGTTAGGGTGGTTGCAGCACGTGTTTAGAGTGAATTTTTGCTTTACAAAGAGGAGAAAAGATCCAAATTACTAGCCTTTTCCATTGCTGATGAAGTATGTCTAGAGACGGGTGGGGAGACGTGAGAGGTCTGAGCAAAGGCTGTCTACCTTCCAGGTTTCTAGAAATTATGAAATATATGTGTGTATATATATATACACACATACACACACACATAAATACAAAATCTCAAGTAAGGTCTGTGACCGGGGAAGACCTCTTTGGATTTCCTGCGAACAACCTTTTGAGAAAGAACCTGGGAGCGAGCCACAAGCGGAGAGGAACTCGTTTAAATTCCCATCCTTTCGCTTGTCAGTGGTAGCCGCACTGGCGGCTGACAATCCTCCAGCCCAGCCTGGGGACCGAAGCCGGCACCTCCCACAGGGCGGGGGCCACTCACTGCCCCGCCCCAGACCGCCGGCCAATGGGAGCCGCGGGAGGGCGCGCTGCCCTTTAAAGAGCGGCGGGACGTGGGCTGTGGGGAAGGAGTGTCTGGAGTGCCGCATTGGAAGGGTGCCGCTACCATGTCCCTGCAGGTGAGCCAGGGGGTGGGGCAGGTGACGCGAGAGGACTTCCTCCCCAAAGGGTAGTGCTCGAGGGGGTGGGGGGGCGGTGAGTCTCGGACTAGGCGCTTGCCCGCCGCCCTCGCGGACCCCGAGGACGCTACCACGCCTTCGCCAGCGCCCTTCTTATTGCAGGGGAGACCAGACAGGTACCGTATGTTGACGCAGAGCCCGAGCTCCCCGTGGCAACTCCTGTGACCCCGGGGGACTAGTTGAACGCAAAGCAGGCACGCCCCAGGGAGGGTGGACGCCGGGGTGCTCCGGGACGACGACGCGGCCCTGCGCGCCTCTTTCCTTCTTGGAGACTAAGGCGAGGGCGTCTGGGGTCTCGCTCGCGCCTCCTTGCTCTTGCTACGTCCAGGGGTTCTCTTAGGCAAGGGCCGCTGTCTGTAAAACTACGATTTAAAAATACTGCTTTTCTGATAATGTGAAAAATATGTATGTTCAGGATGGAACTTTTGGGGAAAGAGAAAAAACATAAAGTGAAACCATCAGGAATCCCTTTAGCTAGGTGATAACCACTGCTGACTTAATGGGTGGCTTTCTCCTATGTGCCAGAAATATGTATGTGCACATGTATGTGCACATGCAGGCGTGTTCATGTGCAAATATGTGAGTATATATAGACACCGATTAAGCTATTATGTACACACACTTTTGTTCCTTTATGTAACACATTATCAGCATTTTCTCATCATTAAATATTCTTCTAAAATATAATTTAAAAAAATATCTGCATACAGTTTCATGGAATGAGCATGGCTCACCTCATTGACCATTCTTTAAGGAGTATGTTATGGTGGGCAAAGGCACATACTCTAGAGGCTGCCGGTTTCAAATCCAAACCTCACCCCTTCTTAGCCTGTGACATACTTAACCCCTCTGTGCCTCAGTTTCCTCATCTAAAAATGGAGACAAGGGTCTAAGATTAAACGAGCTGCATGTCTAGAGCATTTAAGACTGCCTGGCATGTTCTTACTGTCCAATAAGGATAAGCATATCCTTAAAACCTTTAAGTATTTTTCTCTTATGTTTGACATAATTCATATTGAACTTTTCCCCCACATAATCAAAACTTGCAATGTCAAAACAGTCTTCCTTTTTAGCTTAGTACTTTGTTTCATTTTGTTTGACAAAACAAATGGGATTTCTAATACAGCTATAACCTCCAAATTTTATTTTAAGATTATAGTATGTTTACTTCCTCAGCAAAGCTCTTAGGCCAGCTGACAGTCATGTAAACTGGACACGTTGCTTTCTTAGATGGTGAAAATCAAAGGCAGACTGCTTCAGGAGGAAAACACATCTTTTTGAGGCAAGGGGATTTGTGATTTTACAACTGGCACATAACTAACCCCTTTCCCTCCACACACACACCTTTTTTTGATGTAAGAACTCTGCAGTTCCGGAGTGTGAGAATTTATGATCTTCCTAATTCATTTTCTCAGTGGGAAAGGATTGCCCACAAAGGTGCTACCAACTCCTTGTGTGGGTGACCGTGTCCTTTGGCTGCAGAAAGTCAAGCTAGAATCGGTGAGAGTCACTGTCAGGGGCTGTCTTCAGCTGTGGTGGAACTGAAAGAAAAGTCACACAGAGGCCGGGGTGGTCCGCGCTCCTAGGTGGTGAGAGACCACTACAGTCTCCAGGAAGGCAGGACGCACCTGTCGTGAGTGACAGTGAAGGCACTGGGGGCACTGCTACCCCAGGGGCGTAGCCAGGCATCCTTGCGGTGAACGTGAACGCATGGTCAGGTGAGGGTCTGGGAAGAGGCCTGAAGGCAGTTTGTTTTGAAGAATCCACCGCAGTTGCCAGGGAATGATGCACAAGTACGTTCGACCAGGGTGTTGGAGATTTGGCTCCAGGGCAGTCAGCTCTGGTGAGGCAGAAATCACTCACGGACAGCAGTGAGCCCAGCTCTGCAGTAGCACAGAAACATTCCTTTTTGCCTAGAATGCTTTGGAAGGAAATGTAAACAGCTGTACTTTTAAAGCTGCTTCACACCTATGATAACTTCATATCTATTCACACATTCATTTATTCAACAAGGGGTTCCCATAGACTGTACCACCTGCCAACACTCTGTAAGGTGTGGCTCACTACCAAGATGAATATTTATGTCTGCTCTCCCTTGTGGACATGTGGGGGAACAAACAAATACAGTCCCATGCAGCATTTATGTTGAGCCCTAATGAATACTGTCCAAGCTTCCTGGAACTCTTTCCTGCTCCTGTCCATCCCGCAAGTGCTGGCCTCCAGCTCAGCTAAGCTCTTGTCTCCTCTGGGAATGTTTCCTCTACACCTGCTGATGCCCCCCGCTCTTTGTTCCCAGAGCACCCAAATATCACATGATTACTGTTGGTCTGCTCATCTCCCAGAAACCCTCAGCTCCTTGAGTGCCGGCTGCCCTGCTCATCCCTGGCTGCCTAGCCAATACATCTGTTAAGTAGTATGATACAAGTGATGAGCTCTGGGCAGGCAGAGTCAACAGAATAAAATTAAAATATTTACATTTTTAATTGGGTTTAATGCTAACACCTTCCCACTGAGGTTGATAATATCTTTTTTCAGCAGAATCCCAATCTCAGAGGAGCTAGGTGCTTGCACAGAACCCCTTGGTAGTGTGTCTCAGAGACAGAATTAAAACCCAGCATCCTGGTGTGAAGCCAGTGTTCTTTCCCCTAGAGCTCAGCATGGTGGGATGGGGAAAGTCCTCATGGAGGAGGGCACATGGGAACCACGCCACCCTCCGCACAGCAGGAATGTACCAAGTCAAGGTGCCAGGGAAGGACATGCTGGAAAGAGGGAACGATCCTGGAATGGGCTTCCCTGGGGTGGGAGGAGGGACAGGGACCCCTGTCACTGCCAGTGAAGCTGTGTGGGGCTTAACTCCTCTGGGGAAAGGGTCTGAGGACAACTTTCCTGAAACTGCTTCCTGGAAGGCAGTTACTTAGCGTGGTTTTTGAGAAGCCTTAGAATTTGAATCAAGGCTTAGCTTGCCGAAAGGAATTGAGCTGCTGTCACTGGAAAATGGCATGAGGCTTTACAAGAAACAGGAGCACCGGAGACACCTGATGAACCTGAAGGGGAAGACCCTGATGCCTCTCTGAACAGCCCTGCCTTGCCTTGCCTTTAGGAAGCCCTGCCACTAATGAGGCATTTTCATTTTGTCCTTATTATAGACACAGTTCATGCACATTGTAGACGATTTGGAGAGTATAGAAAGTATCAAAAAAAACAGAAAACAATAATCTAAGGTAATTTTTGCACATTTTAGTGTATTTCTAGTCTTTTATTTTTTAAAAGATTTCACTTATTCATTTTTAGAGAAGGGAAGAGAGGGAGAGAAACATCATTGTGTGGTTGCCTCTCAGTCACCCCCTACTGGGGACCTGGCCCACAACCCAGGCATGTGTCCTAGACTGGGAATCAAACCGGTGACTTTGATCTTTGATTCACAGACCGGCACTCAGTCCACTGAGCCACACCAGCCAGGGCTCTCGTCTTCTTTTATTACTTACAAAGCTGAGCGTATAAAAACAATTTTCTATTCTTTGTTAAATTATAGAAAAGTATTTTTCATGTTTTGCTTTATTGAGAATACTTTTCAGTTTTTTCTAGAACTTTTTTCTCAAAGAGCCTTATAATAAAAATAAATAGTAGTTAAACTTTATTGACCACTCACTATGGGCCAGACACTATTTTAAATATTTTACATGTGTTAGCTTATTTAAATCCACCCAACAACCTTGTAGATAGGTGGTGGTATTGGCCCATATTCCGGATGAAGAAACAGAGAGGTTAAGTAAGTTGCCTAAGGTCACACAGCTTTGAAGCTGAGTTTCAAACCAAGGCAGTCTAGCTCCAGAGCCTGTGTTCTCAACCGCACAAAGCATCTGACAATTTCCTAAGACTCAGATGAGGTGAGGGTTTGTCCCTTGTCGCATGCACCCATGCTTCTCAAACTCCTGTAGGGAATAAATTAGGAGGTGAGGCCATTTTCAAGGTTATTTAGGTTGGAGACTCTGGTCTCCCATTTGCAAGTGACTTTTGTTCATTACAAAACAACTATTCAGTTGTGTTACAGGAGTCGTTGGCACTGGATGGAAATTTTATCCAACAACTCCACTGAGATCACTGGGGTTCTGAAATTACAGTGGGGCTATCTGCTTTCTCTACTAGGCATTAGGATCTTTGGGTCAAAAAGGAGCTCTGGCTTTGGGGAAAGAAAATGAGAGGTTGGGTAGAATGCCTCATTGAGACTCTCTTGTTTGATACCTGACAATTCCTGCTTATCCTTGGTTTAAAACAAATAATGTAAGGTAAAATTACAGTCTATTAAAAAAAGAATGGAAAAATTCTATTAAGAAAAACAATCACCATGGCCTTTGTCTATACACTAAGAAGTTAAAAAGAGAGCAGGAACCAAGTTTCTAGGAGCACTTTGTCTCTGGGAAGAATATACCCAGGGGGCGGCTGCTGGCCAGCCCTGAGCTTGTCCCAGGCCAGCCTGAGGGTCTTGGGAAGTCAGGGAGGTGAGAGTTACGTCAGGAGGGCAGGGCAAAGTTTATGACTCAGAATATTTGCCTACAGAGTTTCCAGGAAGACAGTTTCTTTCACTAGTCAGCTTTAAGTTGGCTGAACAACTTCATTTTTTCTGTAAACCAACTGAAATGGCTATTACAAGGTTTGTTTAAAGGAATCTACATAATGAAATCAGGAATACTGCCCTCAGAAACTAGCTAGTGTACTAACCAGGCATACATAATACTGATGCTGAAGAACAGGGGAGACATGCCCTGAACAAGATATTAACTGGTAGCAAAGCTAATTACATATAGTAAAATGTAGGTTTAAGAAGAAGTGAAGAATGTGTCCATGAGGGTGATTGAGGAAGTTGCATTGAGTGTAATGTGATTAAACAATGTTTAATAGATACTTTTATTTATGTGCTTTTAACTTACAGGAAATATATGTGTTACAATTTTTCTTTAATCTTTTGACCACCTTCATCAATTTCTCTCATCCCCCAAACCCATGCTTCTCGTAACCACCAATCTATTCTCTGTTTTTATGAGTTCGGTTTTTTATATTACGTGTACAAGTGAGAGCATGTAGTATTTGTCTTTGTCTGAGTTATTTCACATAGTATGATGCCTTCAAGGGGCATTCATATCGCCGCAAATGGCAGGACTGTCTCCTTTTTTATGGCTGAATAATATTTCATTGTATTTTTCTTCTTTAACCATTCATCTGTTGGTAGACAATTAGGTTGTTTCCATGTCTTGACTATTGTAAATAGTGCTGCAATGAAAATGAAGGTGGAGGTGTCTTTTTGAGATGGTGGTTTTGTTTCTTTTAGATAAACACCCAGAAATGGGATTGCTGGATCATATAGTAGTTCTGTTTTTAACTTTTTTAGGAACCTTCACACTGTTTTCCATAGTGGCTGCACCAGTTTACATTCCTACCAACAGACTATAAGGGTTCCTTTTTTTATATCCTTACAATACGTGTAATCTCTTGTCTTTTTGATAAAAGCCATTCTAAGGAGTGTGAGGTAATAACTCATTATGGTTTTGATTTGCATTTACCTGATGTTTAGTGATGTTGAGAACCTTTTCATATGTCTATTGGCCATCTGTGTTTTTCGTAAAAAAAAAAAAAAGTTCTATTTAGATCCACCCCCGCCACCTGCCCCCTGCCATTTTTAATCTTCATCCAAGGACACTTCTTTTTAAAGAGAGAGGAAGGAAAAGAGAGAACTATCAGTGTGAGAAAGAAGCATCAATTGGTTGCCATCTGTTTGTGCCCGGACCAGGGAGTGAACCTGCAACCCAGGTATGTGTCCTGACTGGAATTGAACCTGCAACCGTTTGGTTACGGGAAGATGCTCCAACCAACTAAGCCACACCAGCAGGGCCACCTCCTGGTTTTTAATCAGATTGTTTGTTTTTTGTTATTTAGTTGTATGAGTTCTTTATCTGTATTTTGGTTATTAACCCCCTATCAGCTATATGATTTTCAGATATTTTCTTCCATTTGGTACATTGCCTTTTCATTTTGTTGATGGTTTCCTTTGCTGTGCAGAAGCTTTTTAGTTTGATATAATGCTACTTGTATATTTTTGCTTTTGTTGCTTGTGCTTTGGGTGTCAAATCCAAAATAATTATCTCCAAGACCAATGCCATTTTTTTCTTGGAGTTTTTTTTCTTGGAGTTTTGTGATTTCAAGCTTTATGTTCAAATTTTTGGTCCATTTTGAGTTGATTTTTGTGTGTGGTGTAAGATAGTGCTCCAGTTTCATCCTTTTGCATGTAGCTGTCCACTTTTCCCAACACCATTTATCGAAGGGGCTGTCTTTCCCCCATTGTATATTCTTGGCTTGTTTGTGATAAACTAAATTGACCCTATGTGCATGGGATTCTTTTGGCCTCTCTATTCCATTCCATTACCCTAGATGCCTGTTTTTATGGCAGTACCATGCTATTTGAATACTATAACTTTGTACTGTAGTTTGAAATCAGAAAACATGATGCCTCCAGGTTTAATTTTCTTTCTCAGGTTGTTTTGGGTATTGGGAGTTGTGGTTTCATAAAAATTGTAGGATTTTTTTTTTATTTCTGTGAAAAATGCCCCTGGAATTTTGATAGGGATTACATCAAATATGTAGGTTCCTTTGTTGCTTGGGGTAGTATGGGCATTTTAACAATATTAATTATTTCAATCCAAGAACACAGGATATTTTTTCATTTCCTTGTGTCTTCTTCAATTTTTAAACATAGATAAATTGAACCATTTCAGTATTCACAATTATATCTCATTCTCCATATCTTGTCTATGTATCAGATAAGTACCAAGAGTGGTATCCATGAATAAGTTCTGATAATTCTGGTGAAGCCAGAGTGGTAGTAATTTATTTCTACTTGAAACCCCCTTGCTGTTTGGTGAGGTCCCACTGCTTGCTGGGAAAAGCCCCCAAACAGACGAACCTGCATAAACTTAGTGAATGCACTGTGTGCCTTTTCCCCCCTTTTTTTTAGGCTGATTTTGATCAGGCAGCTGAAGATGTAAGGAAGCTAAAAGCAAGGCCAGATGATGAAGAACTGAAAGAACTCTACGGGCTCTACAAACAATCTGTAATTGGAGACATCAATATTGGTATTTATTGTCATCTTAAAAATAGTGATACACTTCATTTGAGCAATGTTTGCATAAGTGTAGAGTAAAAAGTAATCCTGAAAATATGTCTAACCTTCTTTTGGCAGAGTGTCCAGGAATGTTAGATTTAAAAGGCAAGGCTAAGTGGGAAGCATGGAACCTCCAAAAAGGTTGTTAATTCTTAAATAAGTTCCACAAATTTTCTTAGCTTCCCAGTACATCCATTAGTGAGGTAATCTGTTTGTATCTTTCCAGGATTATCAAAGGAAGATGCCATGAATGCCTATATTTCTAAAGCAAAAGAGCTGATGGAAAAATATGGAATTTAGAACCCAGCATATGAGAAAACTTTCCTTTTGAAGCCTTCATAATGGTATCATGACCTAACATTAGGGGAGAAATGCAGCTGTTAACTCTATATATCATGAATGTTTTTGCTAGCAACATGAATTATAATCCTTAATTAAGAGATATAATGAAACTACATGTTTAAGGAAATTTTACTTGCTAAAACGAGGAAATTTTTTTTTTTACATTTAAAAAATTATCTTTATTCCTGGCTGGTGTGGTTCAGTGGGTTGAGTGCCAGCCTGCGAACTGAAAGGTCGCTGGTTTGATTCCCAGTCAGGGCACATGCCTGGTTGGCAGGCCAGGTCCCCAGCTGGGGGCATGCGAAAGGCAGCTGATTGATATTTCTCTTGAGCATTGATGTTTCTCTCCCTCTCCTTCTCTCTCCCTTCCCCTCTTTCTAAAAATAAATAAATAAAATATTTTAAAAAATTATCTTTTAGGTTTTTGAGTCATCACATGTATCAAAGACTAATCAACATAAAGAGGTGATTTTAAACATTCTTTTCAAAAATTATTGCTCTGATAGTGTGTGCACAAAACATTAACAATTGTTTGTTTGGTTTTTTTTTTTTTTGGTTTATCTGTTTTTCTACCGGGGATTAGTATTACTGGTGTAATCAATAGTTTTTAAAGAACCAGTAACAAAACCATTCCTTTGTTGCACCATGTAGCTATGGGGTTCGCGCTGGCCCAGGGCCTGACTCCGGTCCTGATTCCGGGCCTTCCTTACCCTATGAGTTAGTTGCTCGGTGACCTAGGCCAGTTACTTAACCTCACTAAGCCTCACCTGTAAGAGACCGGAGAAAAATATCAGTCTCAAAGGGTTGTAAGAATTGAATGAGATAACTGTAATTATCCTACTTTCACTTTAAAGCTTGTGCTACATAAAACCTAACAATAAATAAGCTAATTAAAAAACCCCTGAGCTTATGAGTCTGTAGCTCTTCAGAGAAAAAAAAGCCATCATGGGACTATCAGCTGTTTTTCTTTAAATTTTATGTTTAAGACAAATCGAAAAATCAAATTTAAGTGTAATATCTGGTGGTGATAAACTGTGTAACTCCTGTACTCTTATGCTGAGTTTAATCAGAGTAAAAGTGTAGAGTCTGAAATATCTTACTGGCCCAATACTCAGTCCTTTTGGCTGGTATACAAGCTCTCTGAAAAAAAAAGATAGTCCCATACTAATAGTTCTAAACTCTGTTTGAGATTTCATGGGCTACGAATCTCCCCAAAACAGTGTCCTCTGTTGCCTGCATGAGGATTCAGGTGTGGTATGGTATGATCAGAAGGATAGGTTGATTTCATGTGACTGAAAAAAAATCTAGATTCACTAGATGAATTTCCAGTGAAAAAAGCCAATCCCAAAAGGTTACACTGGACAACCCCATTTCTCTAACATTCTTGATGTAGACCTAGAGGACAGAACAGGGATTGCCAGGGAGGAGGGACATGGGTGTGGTTCTACAAGGGCAGCAGGTGGGATCCTGTGGGCTGGGAATGTTCTGTATCTTGACTGTGTGAAGGGCAGTACCCTGGTTGAATTTTGTGCACTGTTACTGTTAAGGGAAAATGGGTATCTCTGTATTATTTCTTGCCACCACATGTTAATCTACAATTATCTCAAAATAAAAAGTTTCACAACAAATCGAGTTTGAATTCTAATTTGGAAAATTTGGGGAAGTAGCAATGATTCTCATTTTTACTAAGTTTTGCCTAAAGGTAGTCAGAAGTCTTCCACGATGAAGTCAGCGTCCAAATCCAACAATGAGAAGAACCATCAATCAGCAATGTTCTTCCTTCCAGTCAAGGTCTTGGAAGTTCTCAGAGCTGTTCCCATGTGGACTTTACCTCCACCAGAGAGAGGGCAGGTGAGAAAGCCCACCCCAAAAGCCTGGCATTGGCTTCATCATGAGGTTTCCATTTGTGTAATATATTAACTGAACATTGTTTAAATTAATAATCAAGAATTCAAATTACTTTAGTAGCAATCATTCTGTAAGGAAACCCTGGAAGTCGTATACCAGAAAGTAGAGCAAAGCACAGAATGTACTAAACATTTAACATCATTTGCTTGAGACTATTTGTAGCCCAAATTTATTATGTGAATTCTAAATCAAAGCTTTTTTCATAATGGATTTTACATTATTTGTACTTTATTAAAAAAGAATAAATTCTGAAAAATACCTCCTGTATGCATTTCCCTTGCTTTTATTTACTAAGACTCTCTATATATATGATTTAAATATCATTAACAAAAACATGAACTCATTATGTGATCATAAACATATCAATGCTTTAAAAGTTAATGTTCTAATAGATAACAAAACTGGGCTCAGCAGTTTAAGCCATAAGAAAGAGACATTGGTTACATCAGTCAAGTGGCAGAGTTTATTGTGAAGAGCCCCAGGAGGGGAGGAGATCAGGGTGTCTGACAGAACAGCCAGGATTCCAAGAGACAAGCAGTTTGGGAATTGCTGGAGACGGCAGGACCCACACAGCTCAGAGACAAGGTGCCTCTTCATTCTCATCCGGAGGCAGGATCCCATTGAAAGAAGTGTTCTTAGTTGTTCTGACCCAGCGCATTTTTTCCCTTTTTCTGCTTTTCCCGCTTTGAGCTCCTGTTTGTTACCAGCTGTTCTGCTTCCTCCCCACATTGACATCAAGTGGTCACAGAGCAAGGCTTACTTGCAGAAAACTTAGTAGAAATGAGAATCGTTGTTACTCCCCGAAATTTTCCAAATTAGAAATGAAGCTGGATTTGTTGTTAAACTTTTTATTTTGAGATCATTGTAGATTAACATGTGGTGGCAAGAAATAATACAGAGATACCCATTTTCCCTTAATAGTAACCATGCACTAAATTCAACCACGGTACTGACCTTCATGCAGTCAAGATACAGAACATTCCCAGCCCACAGGATCCCTCCTGCTGCCCTCTTAGAGGTAGCCTATGGGATGTGGCATTTGTATACTTGGCCACTCCAAACGCCAAGGGCCAGATTCTAGATTGGTTGTCCGTGGGAGGACACCCCCTGGACCCAAGGCAGTCACTGACTGTGTAGCATCATGGCCAACCGCGTCTATGGGCAGTTGGTATGGGAGGGACCTATCAGAAGAAGACCGGGGCTTACAGGCACTCTGGAGACTTAGCAGAACAGACGACAATGATTGTTTAGGATTTTCTCATTTTAACCAGGCAGTAGGTTACATTTTCTCATTAAATGGGATGACCCTATATTTCAAAAGATTAGATCAAGCTTTGAGCCCCAGTGTGCAGCTGAAACAATAATTTAATTTCAAGCATGTTCCCCTGTCATTTTCACTGTCAAAATAATTCAAGGGAGAAATAGTAGATTATTTACCAAGCAGGAGCTTTGTTGACAAACTTCCCACAAGTGAGACTCAAATGAGATTCTACTACAAAGACAAAGAACCCTTCCAGAAGTATGTTTGACCCACTTATCTTTCTTCCCCAGGGACATAAATGCTCCGTGGAGAAATACATTTATATGTAACAAATCACCTAGCAGTAGCAAATGTATAACTTCCCAATTTCAGAATAAAACGAATGAGCTATTTCCGAAAAATTAAAAAGGAGTATCATTATAATCATTTTGAATTTTTTAGAAACAAAAGGAAAATTATCTAAAATTAGGCACACGTCTATAGTTTCAGACACGTGGTTATGTGGTTCTTGATGAGGTTTTCATTGGAAGATTCCTTGAGATGGAAGTGATTTCCTGGATGCACGTGAATCTCAAAACTTCCACTGGTTAAATCTTTCCAGGCTAAAACTAAGCAAAATGATGACCTTAATGACAAATGATACTTACTGAAAAACAACAAAAGGTTTACTTCCAAATATTAGCTTTCAAAGATCTGACATCAGGGGCAGAGTTATTTTCAAGGTCTCATGTTCTCTAAGTCCTGTATTTTTTTTATTTCCTTAAGACCTTTCAGTATATAGTAGTATTACCTGTGTTTTCTCATTTTGCACATGATGATGAACATCTCCCCATTTACATTAGATAATACTTGGACCTATTTTCTACTCATTGCAGTAACTTCTGATTGAACTTTAGCTGAAAAACTATTAAACAAATATCTCAATAAAGTACTGAAAATTAAAACATTTCACCTTCCACATCCTTTACTGTATCTTCAGATCCAAGAAAGCATGTAAAGCCACAGGACAGCCTTAGATGATGCATTAAAACTGTAAACAGAAAAGAGGAAGTAACTTTTCCTAGGATCTTTTCCTGTTCCTAGAGTCACTTGAGTGAAAAATGATGCATTCTAACTTCATTCTTTTTTGCTGTTTCCAGAAATCCAAACTTTTTTTTTTTTACCAGAGGTTCTTCTATAAGTGAGACTGTCTGCGGTCCAGACCAATTTCCAAGGTCATCTAACTTCTAGAACAGTACAGGTAGCAGTCGGATGGCACTTAGGCCCCCAGCCCAAATCAGGGTGCAGCTGGTTACAACTAGTCCCTTTAACTGCCATTCCTAGAAACGACCAGTCTCTCTGGTCCAGAGAAGGTTGCAACCAACAGGACAAAAGCAGGTTCATACAAGCAGGTCCCCTGAGTTAGCTCTACTAACTCACAATCATTTTCAGTTTAATCACAACAGCAATGCACATTTATTGAGCTAGGTGCTGGCTGCTGCTGTTAGCTCCCAGGAGCCCGTAGATAAGCACTGCCTCTTTCCTCCTGCAACTTAGAGACTGGCTGGCGAGATAGACACGAATAAAATGATCAGGCAATTAGAGTTCAGGGAGCCCTGTGAACGCTTGACAGTTGGGGGTGGGGTAGCATCAAGCAAAGTCTCCCTGGAGAAAAACAGTTGAATCTGAGATCTGAACAAATAGGACAAAACTTGGCGAAGGGGAGAGAGGCAGCAGGAGAAGAGGAAAGAGAATGAGCACAAACCAGTGGCTTTCTGAGAGCAAAGGGGGAATTGGGACCAATTAACGGAAAAGAGGACTCAAGGGCCAAGTCTAGGCCCCATAAAGGCTTTTGGTCATCCAGAGAATGACAGGAAGCCACTGAAAGCATCGAAGGCAAGTGTGTCAGGACCTAACTTGATTGTCATACCTCTGGGTATAATGTGGGGAGTGGGCTGGAAGTAGACACAGGGCCTGTGACCGGCTCAGTGGCTCTTTCAATAGTCCAGGCCAGAATTCCCACTCTTGCCAGAATGCAGAAAACTAGGGGTGCCATTCTCAGCCTGATGATGAGAGAAGTCTCAGCAAACTACAACATCACAACTTTTCCTCAACTCATCAGGGAGCTGAGTTTGCGAGTCAAACTAGAAACCAAATTCCAAGGAGTCAGGCACCTCTAAGGAGAGGAGGGACTTGCAGACTGGCTCACGCATGCAAAGCACAGGAGGAAGGTGTGTCTGCTGGGCCTTTGAGGAAGAAGAAATCAGCTAACGTGTTAACAAAGTGCTGGAGACCAAGGGTGGGCAGAGGTGGAGGGTGCTGTGGAATTCATGTTGCTTGCAGGCTCTTTACCAAGGGCCTCCTCCTGGGGTTCACAAGAAAGACTGAGAACAATGCAGGAGGCCAGAAAGAGCCCCTTCGGAGGGGCAGGTGGGCAGTAGGAAATTGGCTGTGGCCATAAAATTGGCTCTAAACCCTGGCTCCTGCCCAGGCCCTTATTTCCTACTAAGCAAAAGCCTCGAGCAGCTGGAAGAGGGGCATTAGACACTTTGACTCCCCTGCAGGCAAAGACCCATGGCCACAGGGGGTGGAAGCACTGACCCTCTACCCTTGGGGAAAGAGTGGGAGTGGCGTTGGGCCCACATCTATACCAAAATTCCTACTTTTGGGGAGGAGCAGGAACTTCCTCATAAGACCAACCACAGGGAGAGTGGGCAGGCACGCTGGGAGAGTCCAACAGCCTGCCATGTACACAGTCGGGGCTCCACGAGGAACTAAAGAACAGTGCAGCGTCCGGGCAGGAGAGGAGGGCAGCCTGGGTGAGTCGGGAGGGTCAAGCGTTCCCACCTGTCACAGGTTTCCATTTTGGGCACCAGGGTCCAAGACTTGGTGGTGATGAAAGCAGACGGGACTGAGAGATAGGCTCTGTGGCCTGGTTTGATTTAAACTGGAAACAACTGAGAGCCACAGCAACCAGAGGGAGAACAGGCTGAGAGCGTGGGAGGAGCAGGAGTGAAGAGGGGAGAAGAATCTAGAGAGCAGTGTTTGGGGAGAGTATTTGGAATCCGGAGAGAGGAAGCCAATAGCTATGGCTATTGCATTCTGATTCACTGGGGAGAGGGGGAGAGTGTTAAGAAGGTTTCCTGTATTGCAGGAAGGCAACATCCCTGTGAGTGATTTCTCTTTTATTTTCATATTGGGGAGTTTTCTTCTGAGAGCTCTTGAGAATTTAGCTAAGCTACTGTAGACGATGGTCAACTCAGCATCCACACTGTGTGGCCAAACCACCTGCGGGGTGGCTTGAACTAACACTAGCGCTCCCGCGAGTGCATGTCCTGGAATGACAGCAGCAGCGTCACAAATACGGATAAGTCCCTGAAACAACTCTCCCAACACCTCGGGATAAACAATCTCTCCTGATTCGCACAACCTCCTCCTCTTGTGTCCCTTAGAGAAGCCCGCTATGAAGCCTACCAAAACCCACTGTTTTTGGTTTGAATTGACCGGGCCTTGATCCAAAACCGCAAAGCCCTGCACCCACAGACACCAGGTGCCCCAGGTCCTGCCGCACTCTCCGCTGCACCCGCCCTGCCCTTCCCGGGGCCCTCCAGGCGGCCACAGAACAACTCCTCTCTATTTCAGTCTCTATGCTGGGCAGCTGCTGAACTTCGCCCACCATCAACACCCAAGGCTCTGCTAACAGATGCTAACAATGCCATAAGAACAGCCTTTGATAGTGAAGCGTTGCTTGTGTTTTGTTTTTAAAAATTGTGGTGATTGGTTAGTTGCCAACATGACCTCATTTAGCCCTCACTACAACACCTGGAGGGAGTTTTTTTCATCCCTTCTTCAGACACAAATTGTTCAAAAAACTAGGTCTGAATCTCCCAGTTAGCAGGTCCCAGGCAGAGGGTTTTGATGCTGGTAGGCAGAGTCTACAGACAGCATGTTTAACCATTGTGTGAGGCTTTTGCCTGTATCACTTTATTGAATGACCACAGGGACTTGAATTACTTTTCCCTTTTTGGGGGGTGATGCCAGACTGGTGTTCCTCTGATTCTGACTCTGCTAAGCCATCGGCACAGACAACTTATCACGTCAGAATCACACTTGGGCAAAGATGGCTGGGACAGAAATGACAGGAGGTGAATACACTTGGGCCCCCAGCTGGCAGACTCAGCGATCGACGAGATGGGCAATGAATGAGGGACGTGTCGTAGGTGAGCACGATTGTCTCTGTTTTCCAGGTGCTTCAAGTACATTCTACTTTTTGTAGCTATTTGTGTAAACTTCCTATCACACACTGCCCGTGGTGGACCCATGCCTTGTTCCAGCTTTTGGGGAGGAAATAAAATATAGGAAAAAAAAAAAAGGAAAGAAACACAGGCCCAAGCATCTGCCTTCTTGGAACGTACATGGAGGAGACAAAGCCCAGGTAGAGGGTAAATGGAGGCGGTCTGGCGTCCTCACCCAGGTGTCTGGGTAACCAAGGAAAGCAGTTTCTCACAACCCTGAAGGGGTCTGATAAAGCGATGTTCTCATGGCCTTGAGTCTGGGTCTCACGGCCTTGAGATGAGGTCTGATAAACGGTTCCCATAACATGAAGTGGGCTTGCATGCACAGAATCATGCTATGTCACTTAACAGTTTGGTCTGTTGCCAGCTTTGTTCGTTCTGGTACTTAAGGAGGTAGGGGCTTCTCAGTGTGTGTGCAGACATAGACACACAGGGGGAATGCAAGGGCCCACGCGGGGTGCCATGCAGAGGGATAGGTGGCATGCAATGTGAAATGCAGCTTGCAGCATGCGTGGATCGTTCATCCTGGAATAAAGGCATGTCAGACATCCCAACAGCTCCATGAATATTCTGTCGCTATGCATCCCATGAACCCGTCTGGTCTAGAATGGTTGCAACACACCAGGCAAAATCAGACAAATGCATGAGAGACTCTAATGGTGACTAAGGGCCAAAGGCTGGCCCTACAGTCACTGCTATGGGAACGTTAGACTAGGAAGAGCCATTGCTAGGTTTAGTTTATTGGGAAGCTTTACAGAATATGACGACTTTGGTTCTGCCAGAAGAATCAGGTGTCAGTACACGCATCTCACAAGGCAGAGCAATGGTCAGATGCCATGGAGCTAAGTGAGGCTGCAACAAAATTCACAAAAAAGCCACCCATTCTTTCCTCCACACAATTCAAAATGTAGGGATCTGCTCTTGCTGAACCCTCTAAGATGAAAATGCTTTGGCATTAATTCAACAAATATTTGTTATATGATAAAAATGTATGTTGAACCATACGTACACACATATTTTAAACAAAAATATGCTCTTTTTATCTTATAGTAATACAATTTTTGTGCCCAGGCTCCATTCTAAGTCAGTAAAAATATCACTGGTGGCCCAAAAGGAAATGAAATCGAACTCTTAGAATGCTGTCTTCCTGTACAAACAGCCTCAGAGAATGCCAATCTACATTTTCTGTAGATAATATAATTGTTTCTAAAAACAATTACCTATCTCAGTTACTTACACGTAATTTAAATAAAAGTGCCCATCTGGCTTCAAAATGGAAATATATTGTTCACTAAATTCCTTGTCATTAAGAAGATCCATGCGGGTGCCTCCAAACTTCAAAATGAGAGAGCGGAATTGTTCTTCTGACAATTCTTTGTCTTCATGATGACAAGACGTGTCCTTAATAATGTAAGTCTAATATTTCATATACTGTGCTTGTTCCTAAATGAAAAGCTCCCTATCTAAAGGAAATGTCCTTAAGTCAAGGTTCAGAAGTGGACTTCCTTATCCACAGGTCTCAGGGGGAGATCTACTTCTTTTTAAAAGCAGGGAGAAGAAAGGTCTTCTACACTAGTCATTATGTTGTCATAATGCCACTAAAATGGCAACCAGGGTCTTTCTTTGGACGAGAAGGGAGAGGAAGGGGCAGGAGTGGGTGCAGCAGGAAGAGCAGCACTGACATTGAAAGCGAGAGTGGTTCGGGAAAGTTGATTTGGAGATGTCAAATATTTTTTTCCTGGCTCTGGTCCAGTTACTTGGCTGAAAGTTGATTAAGTTCCCAGCTGACCCAGAATGAAAGAATGAACACTTTGGGTAAATATGAGCTTAAGATACCAGGGACATTGCAGACACTGACCAAGAAACAGATAAGGTGCACTTCGGAGAAGAGGGAAGGTGATATTGGAAGAGATTTGAGAGTCTTTTCATTAGCGAATGGGATCCCCACCATTGTCCCCATGCTGGACCAGAAGTCACCAGATAGGAAAATAACAATGTGATTTCCAAACCCCCTCCCCATTAGCAGGGGCTCTTCACCACCCACCCTAAAAAAAAAAAGAAATTATTTACATGAGGAGCACATACACTTGACAAAAATAAATGCATCGGTTCTAACTTAGGTTTTCCTTTTAGGTGTAGTGCAGGCTCAAAAGCAATATAGGATCCCAAACTAAATTTGGGAAAGAAAACATGATAATAACTGTTCAACAAAGTCATGATAATCCATTGAAAGTCAATAAGAACAAGGACCGTAAACACAACAATGATCATGACATAGGCAAAGGAAAGCATAAGTTAGCTGAATAATAAATGTATTTACAAAGGATATACTGTCGATGATTTATATTAGCCAAAAAAGTGTGTTAAGCCCTGGCCAGTGTGGCTCAATTGGTTGGAGCATTGCCCCGTAAACTGAAGGGTCACAGGTTTGATTCCTGGTCAGGGCACATCCTGGGTTGGTCCCTGCTCCAGGTGCCCAATAGATATAATGTTTCTCTCTCACATCATTGTTTCTCTCCTGCTCTCCCTCCCTTCCCTTCTCTCTAAAATCAATAAGTATGTCCATGGGTGAGGATTTTTTTTAAAGTGTTGTAAGACATCCTACATAATTCAGTCTAAGATTTAGTACTTCTTTCCACAATGTCTTGAAATTTATTTAAAGTTCATTTTCTCTCTTCAGATCTCTACCACTTTTTCTTCATAATATTAGCAGTCCTCATAATATGGTCTGGGGTCCCCTGGGAATTCCTGAGACCTTTTTAGGTGGTTTATGAGTTTAAAGCTAGTTCCATGATAATATCAAAATGTTATGTGCCTTTTTTACTCTTATTCTCTCCTGGGCCCATGGGGGAGTTTTCCAGATGCTATGTGACATGGGATGTTGCAACAGTTTGAATGCAAAAGCAGAACTGAGAATCCAGCTGCCTTCTATTTAGCCAAATATTAAACAGATTTACAAAAGTGTAAAACAATGTCATGCTTCTCACTACTTTTGAGGGGAAATACAGCCTTTTACTTAAAAATATATTATTCATGTCAACAAATAATGGGTTTACTAACATTATTTTAAGATAAGAACAATATTTAAAATTCCTTAGGTTTAATTCCTAATATAGTAAATATTGACATTATAACACATAAGCAAAGTTCTATGAGTCCCTCAATGCTTTCTTTGGCATTTCATTTTATTTCATTTCATTTCATTTTTTTCAAATTATATTTTATTGATTATGCTAACACAATTGTTCCAATTTTCCCCCCTTTGCCCCACCCCCAGCAGGCCCCCCTCCCTTAGGCAATCCTCACACCATCGTTCATGATCATGGGTCATGAGTATAAGTTCTTTGGCTACTCCATGTCCTATACTGTACTTTACATCCCCATGGCTATTCTGTAACTACCTGTTTGTACTTCTTAATCTTCTCACCTCTTAACCCATTCCCCGACACCCCCCTCCCATCTCACAACATCGAAACGCTCTCTGTATCCATGATCTGTCTCTGTCCTTCTTGTTTGCTTAGTTTGTTTTTTAGATTCAATTGTTGACATGTATTTTTTGCCATTTTATTGTTCATAGTTTTGAGCTTCTTCTTTGTCTTAGATAAGTCCCTATAACATTTCATATAATAATGGTTTGGTGATGATGAGCCTCTTTAGCTTTTTCTTGTCTGGGAAGCTCTTTATCTGCCCTTTTATTCTATATGATAGCTTTGCTGGGTAGAGCAATCTTGTCTGTAGGACTCTGCTTTTTATGACTGAATATTTCTTGCCAATCCCTTCTAGGCTGCATTTTCTTTTGAGAAATCAGCTGACAGTCTTATAGGAACTCCCCTGTAGAAAACCAACTTCTTTTCTCTTGCTGCTTTTAAGATTCTCTCTTTATCTTTAGCCTTTGGCATTTTAATTATGATGTGTCTTGGTTGGTCCTCTTTGGGTCCAACTTGTGTGGGACTCTCTAAGCTTCCTGGACTTATATGTCTATTTTCTTCCCCAAATTGGGGAATTTTTCTTTCATTATTTTTTCAAATAAGTTTTCAATTTTGCTCTTCCTCTTCTTCTTCTGGCACCTCTATGATTCGGATGTTGGTGTGTTTAAAGTTGTCCCAGAAGTTCCTAAGTCTCTCCTCATTTTTTAAACAATCCTTGTTTCTTCTTTATGTTCTAGGTGAATGTTTATTTCTTCCTTTTGTTCCAAATCATTGATTTGAGTTCTGGCTTCCTTCCCTTCACTGTATATTTTTCTTTATTCCACCTTGAATAGCCTTCACTTCTTCCTATATTTTGTGGCTGTACTCAATCATTTCTCTGAGCATCCTGGTTACCAGTGTTTTGAACTCTGCATCTGGCAGGTTGGCTATCTCCTCATCACTTAATTCTTTCTCTGGAGTTTTTATCTGTTCTTTCATTTGGTCCATATCTCTTTGTCTCCTCAATCTGTCAGTGCACCTGTTACATTGTAAGGGGAGGAGCCTTAGGCATTTGCCAGGGTAGGCCAACTTGCTTTGCTGCATTGTGGTGCTGTATTTGGGGGAGGGGTCAGAGAAGGGAGAATGACACCTGCCTGGCTCTTGCCCCACTTTCAGTCACTTCCTCCACTACCCTCAAGCAACTGGCACCCTTCCAGTGCTGCCTTGGTGCTGATTCCCCAAGTGGGTGGGCTAGTATACATTCTAGGACCCCATAGGCCCCTCAAATAGACTCTCCTGTGGGATCGGCAGTTTCTTCCCACTGGCAGTTTCTTTCATCACTGCAACTGACACAGGTGTTTACAGCCAGGGGTTATGAGGAGGGGTCAGAGAGGGAACAATACCACTTGCTCCACTCTCATTCCACTTTCAATCACTTTCCCTTCTTCCTGCAAGCAAATGGTGCCCTTACAGGTGCTTCCTGGTGCTGATTCCCAGGTGTGTGAGCTTGTATATGCTCTAGGACCCCATGGGCCCCTCTAAAGGACTCTCTTAAGAGACTGGCAGCTTCTTCCATCACTGCAACCTCACAAGGATTTTACAGCCAGAGGTTCTGAGGCTTTATTTTCCCACACTGGAACCCTGGGTTGCATGGAACCCTGGGCTAGGATTGCTTGCTTCCCAGTTATCCCTTCTAGTTTTTATCTGCATGAGAGTGTGGAACTGCCCAGTCTGCCAGCTGCTGCCTTGCCTCATGTCCTCTCCACCCTGACTGTTTATCTCTGTCCATCCTACCAGTCTGGATGAATGTTTCTTTTTTAACTCCTTGGTTGTTGGACTTTCATACAGTTCAGTTTTCTGGCAGTTCTGGTTGCTTTGTGTTTTAGATTTGTTGTTATCCTTCTTTTGGTTGTGTGAGGAGTCGAAATGTATCTACCTATGCCTCTATCTTGGCCAGAAGCCTCACAATCCCACCTGACTTTTTTGCAGCCAGAAGCTATGGGGAATTATCTTCCTGGAACTGGAACGCTGGGCTGGGGGACCTGGTGTGTGGCTGCGACTCCTCATTACCAAGATATCCCCACATGAATGTAGGACCAGCCTGTTCCACATCTCTACCCTTGCTACCAGTCTGAATGGATGGGGTTTCTTTAATTCAGTAGTTGTCAGACTTCCATTCAACTCAATTTCTGATGGTTCTGAGTGATGGTTGTTCTAATTTTAGCTGTAATTTCGATGTGGTTGTGCAATGAGGTGAGCCATGTTTACCTGTGCCACCATCTTGACTGGAAAAAAATGTTCCTCAATGCTTTTTAAAAGTGTTAAAGCAGTACTGGGACCAAAAGTTTGTGAACTGCTGTGGACATTGAATATATTTATTGACAATATTGCCAGAGATGTTCATTGCTGATGAAGTGTAAATTGCAGGTAATTTGGGAATACATATCAAGAGCTGTAACAACGGGCACATCATTTAACCTAAATTATAGAAATTTATTCTAAGAAACTTATGAGATGTATACCAAATTTTCTACAAAAATGTTCACTGAAGTGTTTTTATAACAGAAAAATATAAAAGAAATTCTATGCCCATGAAGGGAGATGATAAAACAAGTCACGAAGCAAAATGACCTCCAGAGAAATAGTAAGTGAAAGAAAGTCAGGAAAAGATATAAAACACATGTAAAAATACTATGGAGCCACACTGGAATTTTAAAATACTTCCTAAGATAATGAGTACTTTTTATTTTTTGGCTGATAGTATCTGTAAATATTATATGATATCATAGCCACAGTTAAGTGAGCCCTTACCACATACCAAATAATTTATGATCTTTATTAATTGAATACCCCCAAGAAGGAACTATTATAATTCCAGCATTACAGAGAAAGAAACTAATTTAAAAACCTAAGAAATTTCTCCTAGGTCAAACTGATTAAGAGGCAGTCAAAACTTCAGGGTTTGTGTTGTAACCTTAAAATTATATAACATAGCACATACTATTTATATAATTTATTTTATTTTATATTTCAAAAATATATAATCTTTATTATATATTTTCCACTACTATTTAGTCCCTATTTATATAATTTTTAAAATTAAAAATAAGTGGAACATAAGTTACTACTTATATCATCTTGGTTTTTCAAGTCCTGACTTTTTGCCTAAAGGTATAATTACTATAAAAACTGGCCAATTGTAAGAGTTGTGACTTGTCATACTTATTCAACGTCCTGGGACTATTTTTGAAAGAGAAGATGCCACAAGGAGCCCAGGATTTTCACAATTCATGACATCACCTGGCATTTACTTCTTTATGGCCTCTGTTGCACAATGTCCTTCTATCTGACTTTCTTGTCTGAGAACAGGTATAATCAAACTTAATCAATCACTCCTTCAAGCTGTGATGAAACAGTATAATACAAAAGGTATGCATCTCACAGACATAAAGAACAACATCAACCAAGGACTTGTGATTGAAAAAATGCCTTTTAAAATGGATTTTAAATACTTGTGGCCAAAAAATGCAAATGGTTTATCCTGGATGACTGGCAGCAGAGCAGAAACAGTTTCATCAACTATCTGGTAGATGTCAGTGACAAAAGGCTCATCAAATCAACTTTCTCTTCCAGCAAGCCTGATGGAGTGCGCTGAAGATTGAGAAACATGAGTGATTGCATGAGGACAATGAGTGAGATGCTGTGATGTTGTAAAGGAGCTTATGTTAACATGATGTGAATAATTTCAAAGAAATGAATGGTGACAAATAATGGTCAACTCTAGTGACATAAAAGACTTACAATTTACTGAGAAAAAACAATATCATAAAAATAACAGACTAAGTATCTGAAAAAAAGACTTTCCAACTACAAAATACCTAGAACTACTAGATGAAGTATACCTATAATTACATGCATAGTTTAGCTCAAAGTAAAAGGGAATGCCTAGAATAAAAAGAGAGAACTAAAAATTCAGGTAGTAAGCTGTGCTAATGGAATGGCTTCTCTGAGGCCTATTGCATATGTCAGGAAAATAAAGCATCAGGTTTTAAGGGTGACATAGAACGGAGTCCTCCAGATAAAGCCAAGAACCTCTAAGCTCTAACCTTTCAGTGAAAAGTAGACTGTGGGGAAAAACAGATCTTCATAATAACAAAGGGAGACAACTTTCTGTGTTTACCTTGGCTGTGAATGGGGGAAAGTCAGCCCCTATACATTTTTTTAACCAAAGCCTTGCATTTATACAAATTTGAAGCATAAATTTATATTATATTGGTGATATGGGGAAAATGAAGCTGAAAAATAACTCACAGTGGTACTGGAGGTGGATTTTTAGATTCTCCGTATTAAATGAGATCATATAGTCTTTATCTTTGTCGTGTTTTGCTTACTATAATGCTCTCAAGGTGCATCCATGTTGTTGCAGATGGCAAGATTGTGTTTTTATGGTTGAAAAATATTCTGTTTTCTTTATTCACTTATCTGTTAATGTACACTTAGGTTGTTCCCATAACTTTGCTGTTTGTACGAAATGCTGCAATGAACACTGGAGTGCAACTATCTGAGGTTGCAACTTCATTCCCTTTAGTTATAGGCCCAGAAGTGGGATTGCAGGATCATACTCGAATATAGTAGTTCTACTGTTAATTTTTTAAGGAAACTTCATACTGCTTTCCATAGTTACTGTACCAATTTACAATCCATCAATAGTGCACATATGTTCCCTTTTTTTCACACCTTCATCAACACTTGTTACCTCTCATCTTTTTGATCATGGTCATTCTAACATGTGTGAGGTGATAGCTCATTGTGGTTTTGATTTGTATTTTCCTTTCTTCTGTTTACTATTTTCCTTTTTCTATTTTTTAATTGGATTGTTTGGGTTTTTTTCACTTTTTGTTATTTAGTTGTACGAGTTCCTTACAAATTTTGGATATTAACCCCATAGCAGATGTGGTATTTACAAATATTTTCTCTCATTCAGCAGGTTGCTTTTTCATTTTGTGGATGGTTTCACTTGTTGTGCAAAAGCTTTTTTAGTTTGATACAGTCTCACTTGTTTATTTTGCTTTTGTTCCCTGTTCTTTAGGTGTCATAAAAAAATCATCACCAAGACCAATGTCAAGGACCTTTTTATCTATTTTCTTCTAAGAGGTCTATGATTTCATTTTTTATATTTACATTTTTAATCCATTTTAAGTAGATTTTTGTTAGTGTAAGATAGGAGTCTAGTTTCATTCTTTTAAATGTAAATATCCAATTGCCCCAATACCATTTATTGAAGAAAATATCTTTTCTCCATTGAATATTCTTGTCTCCTTTGTCAGATATTAGTTGACTAGATATGCATAATATTATTTCTGAGCTCTTGATTCTATTCCATTGGCTTATGTGTCTGTTTTTATGCCATACCTTACTGTTTTGATTATTATAATAACTCTTGGGTTTTAATGTACAGCATGGTGACTAGAGTTAACAGTGCTGTATTCTTTACTTGAAAGTTGCTAAGAGTGTAGCTCTTAAAAGTTATCACAGGAGAGAAATCAAGATGGTGGAGGAGTGAATGGGAGTCACACTGACCTCCTCCCAGGATCTATCTGGACTTGCAACTAAATTGTAGAGAAATCACCTGGAACAAACAACTGAACAATAGTGAGAGAGGAGCCTTATCACCTCAGACAGACAGAAGAATCAGCTTTAGCACAACCTAACTGGTAAGGACTGTGGTAGAGACTTGAGAAGGTGGGTGGGGCACCTATGGGTGGCAGAACAAGAAGGATATTGAAACATCCAGTTGGATCCCCTTGAGAAGAGTGAGGTCTAACCCGTAAGTGGAAATCAACCTACAGCACCAGAGCCCAGAAGGAACATGGGTAACAGCCAGTTGCAAAAAGTGGCACGGTTGCTCTCTGCCAAAGACTGGCAGCTGGAGATGCAAAGAGCCTTTTAAAGGGCCAACACATAAATTTTTATTTGCAGCAACTTACCCTGGTCTCCAGCAAAGGTGGAGGCAGAGTGGGCTAGAGACTCCTGAGGAAAGACTAGGGAAGGAGGCTTTGAGGAGAGAACTAAGAGAGTAGCCAACGGGATCCTGGTGCTGACTCTTCCTCCATATGGAAGCAGCCATCTGGCTCAGGCAGACCACTCCTGTGAGCAGCAGCAGATGAGAGGACATAATAACCCTGCTGCCAGGAGGGACTCTACCCAGCCCTGTGATGTCTAAGTCTGACTGCTGAGTGCAGAGTGACTAGATTAACAACTGAAGGAGACAGCCACAGACAGTAGATTCCTGGAAGTCTCTAAAAGACTGCTAAGGTCAGACAGGGTCAGCAGCTAACATCCTCAGAGGCAGATCCATAAAGAAAAAACAGTGGTCTTCTGCCATAGAAGTTCACACCACAAAGTCAGGAAATCAAAACAGATCAACTTAAGAATCAGAAGGAAAAAGGAAGAGTCTCACAAATAATGGAAAGACAAAGAAACACCCCCCAATCAAAGGGAAAGGAAGCATCCCCAGAAAGAAAACTAAATGAATTAGAGACAAGTAAACTATCAGATATTGAGTTCAAAACAATGGTTCTAAGGAAGCTCAATGATCTCAGTGAGCTCAGAAAGAATTACCAAAAACTATAGGGAAACTATGAGGAATTTACTACAAACTTTATCAGCATGACAAGGGACATAGAAATATCAATAAGAGGCAAGAGGAAATGAAGAATACAATTTCTGAATTGAAGAACATAGGAGAAGGAATCAAAAGCAAGCTAGATGAAGCAGAGGAATGAATCAACAAGCTGGATGATAAGGTAGAAAAAAGTTCCCAGAAAGAGCAAGAAAATGAAAAAAGACAAAAAGAATGAAGAGGCATTGAGGGAAATGCAGGACAACCTGAAATGTAGTAATATCCATATACTACGGATGGATACCAAAAGGAGAAGAAAAGGAACAAGGGATAGAGAACCTGTTTGAAAAACGAATGATTTAAAACTTCCCTAATGGGAGGAGAGAAAATGTCATGCAAGTCAAGGAAATAGAGAGGGTCCCATTCAAGAGGAACCCATTGAGGCCCACTCCAAGACACATCATCATTAAAATGGCAAATATAAAGACAAACAGAGAATCCTAAAGGAGAAACAGGTAGTTACATATAATGGAGCTCTGGTAAACTAGCTGCTGACTTTCAACAGAAACACTACAAGCCAAAAGAGAATGGCAAGAAATATTCCAAGTAATGAAAGGCAAAGGCCTGCAACCAAGACTGCTCTACCCAGCAAGGCTCTCAATTAAAATGGAAGGCAAAATAAAGAGTTTCCCAGACAAAAGAAGCCTGAAAGAATACACCTCCACCAAACCAGCACTGCAAGATATGCTAAAGGGACTGCTTTAAGAAGACGAAGAAAAAGAGTCCATGAATACCCAGTTCCTTTCACAGTCACCAATACTTGATATTACCAATATTTTTAATACTTATTAATCTGATTGTGACAAAGATGTATTTTAATTCTTCCTTTATTATTTGTTGAAACTAAACCTGTTTTTGTATATTACTTGCCTATTTCTATTAGTTTTAAAAAGCTTTAAATGACTTTTTGATATTCTTTATCCATTTTTTGATTAAATGCTTATAGATTTTTTCCCCTAAAAAACCCAAAAAGTCTATGAACAATTTTTCAGATGTGTTGCAAATACTTTCCTATTCTATTACTTGCCCTTTAACTTTTTTATATGTATATTACTGTATAGTCTTAAATGTTTAATATAGTCATATTGTCAATATTTTACTTCATAGCTTCTGGGTTTGAATATTTTACTTCAGGGTAAGAACATTATTATTTTGTATTTTCTCTTAAAACTCCATAGATTCTACATATTGATTTTTAACTCACCTGAATATTTTTAGTATAGTGTGTGAAATAAGGCTCTATATTTGGTTTATTTCAAGTAATAGTGGTCCATGCACCTTATTTGTTAAATAAGCCTTATTTTCCCCATTTATTTGAAATATCAATTTAATCATATATTACATTGTTAGACAGATATATATGTTTGTTTCTAGAGTGTTCATTTTTTGATTGATCTACTTGATTATTTCTGTGTGGGTGTCATGTTTTAATTGCTGACACTGTCTAATGGATTTAAATTTTTTAATATTTTATAATGGATCTTGACATTTAAAAAGTAAATAAAATCAATCTGCACTTAAAAAGAAATAGAAAGAAAGAAAGAAGGAACTCCTACCTTTTGCAACAACATGGATGGAACTGGAGAATATTATGCTAAATGAAATAAGCCAGTGGGTGAAAGACAAATACCATATGATCTCACCAATAAGTGGAATCTATTCAACAAAATAAACTAACGAACAAAATAAACCACAGGTATGGGAACATGGAGCAGACTGAAAGTGACCAGAGGGGATGGGGAAGGAGGACAATGGTGGAAAGAAGGGGAAGGGACTAGACAAAGAACATGTATGGATGACCCTTGGACATGGACAACAGAGTGGGAATTAACTGTGGGAGCGGGGGGTTGGGGGTGGGATGGGTGGAGGGGGGCAAAGGGGGAAAAATTGAGACTAAACATGAATAAGAGAATAACATGAATAAACATGAGTAAGAGAATAAACATGATTTTAAAAAAACAAAAAATTT